CAGTTTGGAACATTTTTGTTGAAGAAGCAAAATTCTAACAGTAAATGTAATTTTTGTCCAGGAAAGTCGATTCATTCCAAAATCAAATGACATTTTAAACATTCAGCAAGGTTCTGATGGCATTATCCAATGCATATGAAGATTTGTATGAAACTCTACTAGTGTATAACCAGCTCAAGCCAGGAAACTCCTATACTTGCCATCCAAGGGCGCTAATCTGTCCTGCTATATGCTGGATTGAACTTTTATCAATTAACCCCTTAATGTCTTATGTGGCCCAATGAAAGCCAAGACTTTCTTCAAACTGAGAAGCTGTGTTAAAATTTTAATATTTGTGTTCACTATCAGTCCCCATCTAATCTGATGGCACTACAGCAATTTTGCTGAGAAGAATGGGCAAAAATTGCCTCATTTAGATCTGGGAAGTTGGTAGAGATGAAACTCAAAAGACTTGCAGCTGCAATAATGCTTTGATCTCATTTGTTTGTGTGTACCTAGAAATACAAATCCACAATAAGTCACTTCAAATGACTATATGGCTGGTGAGACTAAAGCTGGCTATACGGTGAACAAAATACTTTTCTTGATGAACCAACCCAAATTCGTTCATTGGGTGACTAGGTTGATGTCCGGGAACTGGGCATAAAATTGTCGGTTGAACAGCACATGCATTCAGTTGAATGCAGGCACTGTTCAGGTATTTTTGACAGCTGGCGGGGCCAGCTAGCAAAACACATAAGCCAGAGCGGGAGATTCCTCCAAACACACTGCTTAGCCTGAAAGCTGAACAACAAAATCTAACAGTGTATATCCAGCTTTACTGACCTCTTGTAATAAGGGTGGAAAAACACGGCTGTCTGACTGTGATCGCACATGGATTGATTACCCTGTGCTTTGGGAGAGATACATGTCCCTGCATGCAATCTGTATGTTCTGTTCTTGCCCCAATCATACCCAGCTGCACATAATAGCCCCATGTGCATGAGGCCTAAACATCAATCACTTAGGGTTTACGAATCCTCTGATTTGTGTCTTTTAAGGTGCACACAGGCATATTTTGGGGCATTATATCGTAAATGTTTTTTTCTAGGGATGCACAGATACTTTTCGAGTACCAGTGCAGATACTTGGCATTTTCATGAGAACTACTAGGGTTGCAGCGGTTGCAGCTTGGACCGGGCTCTGGCGCTCCACCACTGTCCTGAAATCATTAGTCTGTATTGTTTTAGAAAAACTGTCACATGACAATAAACAAAAATGTATCAGTACTCGTACTTGTAAGTACTCGGCAAGTACCAGTACTCGCAAAACTGGTATCTGTGCATCCCTTTATTTATATTTATAAAAACAAAATTGTGCATTAAAACAGAGATGTACAAATCCCAGGAGCTCCGTGTGCTCCTTACAAATGACAGCTGCCTCCTAATTTTTTTATTTTTCTCTAGTGTAGTCTTGGAGCTCAAAAGTATCGGTACATGTACTCGTACTTGTACCGAGTACTGTACTTGGTATCTGTGCAACCCTATTTTTTCCCCTCACTTGGGATATGCAGTTGGTGCGTACAGCACCCATAGACATGAATATGTACAGGTATATGTCGGCACTCACATGAAACCTGTGTATAGCATACAGATGTACACCAATCAGCCATAACATTATGACCACCAAACTAATATTAAGCAGGTCCCCCTTTTGATGCCAAAACAGCCCTGACCCCTCAAGGCGTGAACTTCACTAGACCTCTGAAGAGATGCTGTGGTATCTGGTACCAAGCCATCAGTAGCAGATCCTTTAAGCGTGGGGACCTCCATGGATCGGACTTGTTCTTCCAGCACAACCCATAGATGTTCGATTGGATTGAGATCTGGAGAAGTTGGAGGACAGGTCAATACCTCAAACTCGTTGTTGTGTTCCTCAAACTATGCTTGAACCATTTTTGCAGTGGGGTAAGGCACAGTATCCTGCGGAAAGCGATCACTGCCATCAGAGAATACCAATTCCATAAATGGGTGTACTTGGTCACCAACAATGTTTAGGTCGTTAAAGTAACATCCGCATGAATGGCAAAGCCTAAGGTTTCCCTGCAGAACATTATCCAAAGCATCACACTGCCTCCGCCAGCTTGCCTTCTTCCCATAGTGCATCCTGGTACCATCTCTTCCCCAGGTAACACACACGCACCTGGCCATCTACATGATATAAAAGAAAACGTGATTCAGACCACCTTCTTCCATTGCTCCGTGGTCCAGTTCCCCTTGTAGGCACTTTTTGTGGTGGACTGGGGTCAGCATGGGCACCCTGACTGGTCTGCGGCTACTAATCCCCACATGCAATAAACTGCGATGCACGGTGTGTTCAAACACCTTTCTATCAGAACCAGCAATAACTTTTTTCAGCAATTTGAGCTGCAGTACCTCTTCTATTGGATCGGACTACACAGGCCAGCCTACGCTCCCCACGTGGAGCAGTGAGCCTTGGCTGCCATGACCCTGTTACCAGTTCACCGGTTTTCTTTCCTTGGACCACTCTTTGGAAGGTCCTGACCACAGCAGGCCAGGAACATCCCACAAGAGCTGTAGTTTTGGAGTTGCTCTGACCCAGTCGACTAGCCATCACAATTTGGCCTTTGTTAAAGTCACTCAAATCCTTACACTTGCCCATTTTTCCTGCTTCCAACATATCAACTTCAGGGACGAAATGTTCACTTGCTGTCTAATATACCCCACCCACTTCCAGGTGCCATTGTAACGAGACAATCAATGTTATTCAATTCGCCTCTCAGTGGTCATAATGTTATGTACAAATACTTTCTGCATTAGGGGAATATGTCTGTATGCTAAACACGGGTCTACTCAAGTCCCGGCATATACCCGAGTACAGTTGTGCACAGCCATTTGTGTCTATAGGTGGCTGTCCTCATCAACTGCGTAGCACAGGCACGAGAAAAAGCCCAAATTTACATTGTACGCTCCCGTGAGCATGGGACCTAAATCTGCCTGGAATATAGGTTATGAAGCTTTGTCCAGCATATAAGCTGGTGGAATGCTGTTCACATGGCATGCTAGCCACTAGATGGAGCTAGAGGAGCACAGGAATCTCCCACTCTCTTCAACACCATCTAGTAACTTCCAGTACTTTGCCGCAGTGATGCCATCTAACCAACAACATCTTTACACTTAGGTCTGTCTTCCACTTTAAATGAAGTACATGAAGGTTTTTCATCTTTGGTTTGTTCAAAGCACGGTGACAGCACCCTTCTTTGTAGCGGCGAGGACAATTTTGGTATTATGTGTATTTAGTGAGTAATCAGAAAATTTGAATGGTTTTGAACATCACTTAACAAAGGGGATAATCGTTTAGCTGATATTCATCTAACACATGGATTTACCTCCCAACAGGATGACTTTCAAATGTGATATTAAAGTGGAAGTACAACCTTACAGCCAAGGAAGGTGCCATCTTGGCCTCTATTTGGATTGCAGATGCCATGCTGCTGCACGTGTGATCAACTATGACAGCAGCCATTTGAGGGCTTGAGAGTTCGATTGAGAGCTGAAATAAGCACACTGACAGCCTGTCTGTTGCATGATGGGATAGTAAGAGGATTATTCACTTACCTGCCTAAGAATCTAGCTGTAGCTTCCGCTGATCCTTCGGCTCATATCAGTCGAACCCAAGGGCTGCTGTACGGGCTATTCACAATAGCGCGTACAGCAGCCGAGCCAAACACATATGCCTCGGTTTGGCTGAGCCAAAGTGACAGGCGAAGCAGGGAGAACGGTCTGCAAAGCAGACCTTGTTCCCCGCTACTGGCAACTGGGTGCAGCCAGCCGTAATGTCACGGCTGGCTCTGCCCAGTTGTCAATCAATGACAAGCCTCAGGTTATTTGAGGACACTGGGCTGTCATTAAATGAAAACAACTGTGCGGAGCCAGTCATGACATCAGTTGGCTCCGCCTATTTGTTTTGTCCGGGACCTGCGGGCAGACTGTCAGGCAAATGTACAGTTGGGCGGAGCTCCGCCCAATTGTTTATATTTTGCAGGCATGTCAGAATGTCATTCTGTGGCGGGAGTCCATCACGTGAGGAAGGGTCGACGGGCATCTAGGTTTTTTCAAAATATTTATTTATTATTTTATTTCGCTGAGTCGTCGTCGTTGTGGACAACACTGGACGTCGTGATTGACCCTGGATTACGTCGGTGGATCCATTTATTTTTAAATAAAGGACTTGTCAAAAATCTGTGTTGTTTTTATTTCAATTAAAGTATTTTTTTTAATTAAAGTCTGGTGTGTTTATTTACATTTTGATGTCACCCTTTAGTGAATGGGTAGAGGTACCCCTTACTCATTCACAAGGGAGGGCCGCATCTGGGTGCACCTTTATTAAAGGGGTACCCTGATGCCAATAAGCCCCCTGCCGCACCCCAACAACCAACGCCCCAGGGCCTGTGGAGAAGAGGCCCTTGTCTTCATCTGCGCGGGGACAAAGTGCTTTTCCAGGGCCGACCCTGGAAAAGCACCCTTCCAGAGGACCCTACGGTTTTTTTTTTAATCCCCATTTTTGGGGATCATGCCTCATTTATACATACATGTCACTGCCTGTGTGAATGAGATCTGAGAACACTCCAGGCCATCTTGCACGTTCTCCTCCGTCCGCCTGGCTGCACCACTACCTGCCAGCACAGACCGCTCACCTGGTAGGCCCCGCCCACCCCTGACAAGAGCTGTCAAAGGCGGGTATTCTAGAACCCGTCACTCGGCAACGTCATCATCTGATGCCTTACGTGCTCCGCCCACATTTGTGCAGCCGTCCTATCGACGTTCTAATTTCCGATTTCCGTTGCGTTTTCTCAATTAGGAAACGCAATGCGCACTGACTAGCAAGCGGCTGGAACGCCCTCCCCCCCCCGACAAAAACAGGGGTCACATGCTCAAAGCCAATCGCGCGCGCGCACAGAGAAGACGTTCAGGCGGTCGACATCTACCTCCCTCTTTTGACTGCTCGCGATGACGTAAGCAGACAGAGAGGCCCGCCCCCTCACGGGAGCGAATCAGAGCTCAGCCTGAGCGGGGTTTGGCGGTGACGCTCAGGAAGGAGGTGTCCGGGGGCCGCGCTGTGCGGTTGAATTTCAAGGAAGGAGACGGCGCAGCCAGCAGGAGGAGGGGGAGTGTGTATCCGCTTCTTCCAGCCTCCATTGCTCGCCCTGTGGGCACAGGCCGGCCGCTGGCACCCTCAAGGCTGGACGAGCTGCATGAGGCGGCGGGGGGAGGAGGAGCAAGCCTGACGGACATCACCGCTTTGCGCACCATGGTGTTCCTCAAGCTGCGGGAGCAGGTGAGACCGAGGCGGCCCAGGTTACCCTGCTGTGTGCCCGCCTGTCATTCAGGGGCCTGCCGGCCATGGCTCTGCCATACTGCGGTGTGTGTGTGTGTGTGTGTACACATCACGTGACTGACACACTCACCTGAGCTCC